CATTCTGCTGCCGAAGAATAAGTGATCTGTAACGCAGGCTGGTTACTACTGTTCCTGCGCGCCCATAATACCCAGCCATACACACTGATAATTGTATAAAACAAATTGACACTGGCCTCTCCGTAAAGATGCCCGTTCAGGCTCAGGTAGATGTACAGGATCGTATTGATCAGCCCTACAGGGTATAACCAGATATTCTCGGCACGCTCCAGGAATACGGCAGCAATACCGGCGGTAACAGCCACGTATTCAACGGGGCCGGTTGCCCTCAGCCCTTCCATTATTTGCGTGGTGATAGATGTTGTGTCCGCCATTTGAGGGCTGAAAGATAAAACACGATTCGCGGTAAAAACAAAAGAGCGTCACCGGATACCGGGACGCCCTTCTATTCTATAACAATTCAAAAAAAACGCTTACTTAGTAGCAACGATGTGCAGCTTCAGGTTTACATCAGCATGGATCATCTTATCTTTCAGGCCCTTGTCAGCACCATAAGAAAGACCCCATTGTGTACGATCGATGTTGAAATCAGCATCAGTTGTCACACTTGTTTCTGTCAAAGCCACTTTCGCAGGGAAAGAAATGCTCTTGGTTACACCCTTTAAAGTAAGGTTACCGGTAATGGTATGAGTAGCGTCTTGCAGGATGATTTTATGACCACCTGTTGTATCAACACCCACCGTTACGGTAGCGATTTCAAAAGTTGCTTCCGGGAATTTAGCCGCGTCAAAGAAATCAGGGCTGGCAAGGTGACCGGCCAGCTTGGCATTACCCGTGCTATCCTGGTCAAGCGCCTTCAGGCTGTTGATGTCAATTACAAACTTACCACCGGTAATTGCGTTGTTTTCAACGGCGATATTACCTTCTTTCAGACTCAGTGTACCGTTGTGCTTACCGGTTGGCTTTGTGCCTACCCATTCAACAACGCTCTGTGCCAGATCGGCCTTGTAGCTGCTGCCCTTAGCTGCGTTGGTGTCCACAGCTACTGCGTCGGTTGCCTGTGCCTTATCTGCTTCAGGAGCGTTCTGGCAAGATGCAAATGCAAAAGATCCTGCTGCGAGAAAAAGAAAAATACGTTTCATAATTGTGTGGAAATAATTTTGTGCAAATATACATGTACAGACATCTATTTTCACACAACCGGTCAAGAAAATTTCTATCGGGCTATAAATGATACACACCATCTGCGGCCCCGACGAAAATAACAAGGAGCTGCTTTATTGACTGATGTTGTAAGTTTGCGCCGTGGAAAACTTTGAACAACGCTGGAAGGCGGTAGAGACCTTACTCGAAGAACGTTTTGGCAAGGTGCCTGATATGGAAGGCATCCTGTTCCTGATAGGCATGAATGAATATGGAGGGCCACCCAGGCGCAGTAAATTTACCAAGGAGCAAAAACAGGACCTGATGCATATAGCCGTCTGCACCTTATTATCGCAACATGGTTATTACGAGCTGCAAGGCCGTGATGAAGAAGGATGGCCACACTTTGAGCTGATCCGGAAACCGGATATTGCGGAGATGAGAGAACAGGAGCAGCTACTGAAGGAAAGTGTAGTTAGTTATTTCGAGCTGTAATCTCCGGAACTGACTATTGCCTAAAAAAGAGATCAGCCCGCTGCGCGGGCTGATCTCTTTTTTTATATATCTTATTGAGTATTGTTTCGTCTCACTAAGCAACCGGCGCATGCGGCCTAATCCTTCGCCGCATTCATACGTTCCCATAATTCAGGGATACGCTTCACCCAATTCAGC